GCGTTGGGAGGTACATTTCCATTTCAAATTACAGCTCTGCAGATAGCATTCACACACACACACACACACATGGATCAAACGTCTTTTTTCTTTGTTGGCGATGTGTTCGTTAGCTACAGCTGTATGGAATTTAAAAAGTGGCTTGTTTTGGCGATCAAATGCTTCATTTCTACATGTTAAGTGCAGAAAATCCATTACAAATTCAAGAAATATTAACTTGCATGTTCATTATTTCTTTAACTGTGTGTCAGGTCCTTTATTCTCCGATCCCCTTGAGGTCAAGCTCTGCAAAGCCTATTTGGAAATCAAACACCGTCCCTCCCTAACCCTCTTTTTAGCTCCTTTCTCCACACACACCTCTCATGCCCTCTTCTCCTTCCCTTGGCCCTTTCTCTGCCTCATCATCCCCCCTTTCTTTCTCCTCCCTGCCCAGATCTCTTTCCGTCCGACTGGCCCTCTCAGCGGGGCTATAGAGTCCTAACTTGTCTACATTTACCCCCTACGTTGGCTGACCAATGGGGCCGTGGCGTGGAGAGTCCCTCCTTTAGCTCTCCGCCATTCTCCCCGAGTCAGCTCATGCTCTCTGTTTTCCCAACCTCTGACCCCGGGCCATGGCAACAGGGGCAGGAATGTCAGGAGTGATTGGCAGGATAAAGAGCGCAGCCCCTCTCTCCTGCACAAGCGGATTTGAGACACTTTGAGGGGCGAACAATGGCGGATTTGGGTCTTGATTGGATCACTGATGAGCTGATGACTGTCAAAAGAGCACGTCGTCTTTACATAAGCCTGATTATCTCTGCGTGGCGGAGGAGAGGGGTAAGTTGGGAGGAGAGGGGATGCAGGGAGCTCACCCCCATGCAGAGTGCCTCGAAAAAAGGGGATAGATGTGCACACGAGGGCCAGGCGATACCGAGCCTCTCTCATCCACTGGAGGCCTTTTAACAAATCTATTCAGGCGACCAGGGGCCCTCATACATGTGGCCATAATCACAGGAGGGTGGCTGGGTTAGGGGAGTGTGAGGGTGGATGACACATGGAGGCAATCATTGTTCAATCCGTGACCATCAACCATCCCATCAAGACAGACAGAGGAGAAAGAACGAGGCTCGGATATATAGAGAGCGAGAGGTGCTGACAGAAAGGAGCAGTGGGACAGGCAAATCAAAGACAAATCCCTTCCATAATCTAGCTCTTTAATAGGGATTAGAACTCACGAAAGAGCCTATATCAGAATACCAAAGCACCAATGAAGAGTCCTTTCACAGCGAGAGTTTGAGGGGCTGATAAAAAGTCCAGAGAGTGAGAGTGATATTCAGAAGTTTTCCTCTCTCCTGGCTGTTTACAGTGAGCTCTATTTTCGGAAAAAGTTTTGGGGCAGCTTGGGTGACAAACAACCAACATGAAGCACAAACTTTGAAACTGTGAAGAAGTTTTTTCGGCAGCACCCGCCAGCAAACACTAATCATATTTTGGATCTGCTCACTTTTCCCCACTCCTTTCATAGCGAAACATGTTTTGGACACGCTGTGTAACTGATTAAACGGCCTTTTGATGTCATTTTTTTCAGCGCCATCATGCTAAGCTCCCTGATATCCAACTTTTGAAAGAATAACATATTGTTTGGGTACTTGGAAGAAGAGTAGCGTGATCTGGCTGGGATGAAGTTTGGAGAAAGTGAAGTGTGTGTGTAAGAGAAAGAGTGGCTGATATTCTCCTCAGCCGTGCTGGTGGCAGTCTGTCGGAGTTGGCAGAGGAAGTGAAAATGGCCTCAAGTGTCTGGCTTCCTTCCATGCTGTTCCTCACATCAATGATGGCTCTCAGTGCATCATCTCTCTCTCTGTACACTCCAGTTTACTCATTCTAGCTCCCGGTTTCTCTTTCTCTGTCTGTAAAAAGGAAGGGTGGGTGGATGAATTAGGAAATATGGTGTTTGAGAAAGTAGAAAAAACACCAGAAAAGTCACAATCATTATTTCCCCAGAGCTCGTACACACGTGTCAGGTTTAAGGGTAAGAGTTCAGCATTTGTGAAATTCAGACTCTCATGTTGGTGCAGCTAATATGCCTGTTGGCTAAGCAAAGAGTGGAAACAGGGGCAAATCTTTTTTTTAAATGTTTGTAGAAATTCCTACCAGCACCTCACTCACCTAAACCTCACTAAAAAACACTTTGTATTCAGTTTGTTGCTTCAAAAACCAAAGTGTAAAAATGACATGTTATAGTTTTTATAAGGTGCTAACTGTTGGAAAGAAATCAAATAGTGTATTTCCAAAAATACCAAACTAATTCTTGTTTGTACGTTTTTTAAGGTTAATAAAACTGCCTATCTCTGACTTCCTATAATCGTAGAGAAATGTCCTTGTCCATTGGAAAACATTAATTTACTTATTACATTATTAAATACTGCATCCTGTGATGTTAATAGTGTATTTAAATCGTATATCAATTGGAAACTGCCAGCTTCATAGATCCAAGATAATGTTTTTTTTTAAATAACCCCCTACCTCCCTCCCTTATAATATGTTGATCCCTTTAAAAATAATAAGGCCAAATGTTAATGTACAAGTTGGAAAGGGGAGCAAATGTTGTAAAATACATTTTTCACACATGCTCCGGAAAGATTTAAATTAGTTTCTGGCATGATGATTGCAAATGTCCTATTAAATATAATCTGGATGAGCGATAAAGCCATCATAGAGCCCGATTTATGTGTACTTGGAACATTTTGTTGATTTGAGTCAAATAAAAATAGAATAGTTTTCTTCCAATATAATAAATATTGTCTGTCCTGTAAAATCCATATATATCCAAATCATCAGTATATCCAACTTACTCAAAATCATCCATGTTTCATAAGAAAGGTCTCTTTTTTAAAACATTTTCCAATAATCCATTTGGTTCCCTTTTCTCTATGAAATTAAATTGAAGAAAACGTCACTGTTACTAAATGTAAAGCCAGATGATTTTTGCATGAAGCGACAAAATGCACATTGAGCATTAATAGGTCGGTGCGTCAGTATTTTTCAGCTAAAAAGACAACTTCGTAGAGTATGCACCAAAACATTGCTTAGAGATTGTAACAACTGTCTGGAATTTGACAGTGGGCTTGCAGAAAGCTTTAGTGTTGGGGACACACACAGTGACAGTTGTCTACTTAGATCAAGTACACTACTGGCTCTGGGAGTGAGGGGGCAGCATTGAGTTAATCTGCAGGTCTGTGAACCTGCTGGCTCTGATTCTGTCAGTGTGTATCATGCCTGCTCAAATCTACACTTCACTGTGTACTGTAAAGCTGCCCAGCTAGGGCCGCATCCAAACACGTCCCCATTATATTTAGGCAAATTAAAGCAGAACCCTTCATTTAACTTCAACTAGCAAGTTGCTATCCATCACATAGCCATACACAGCTCGGACATCCTCTTAAAAGTCAAATTCAAGCACTTTTAAAGGAAGCTAAAAATGTTCAGACTCTCAAAGCCTTTATCGTCACATCTACAATGTTGCCATAACTGCAATTGTGATAAATAATCTTTATCGAATTCCTTTATACCCAACAATGTACACTTTGGTTAGTTAAGCCACTGTTTGTATTGACTTTGATGTGTTTATTAATGCTAAGCTAGTTCCCCTTCACTCAACAAACAAATGTGACGAGACTATTATTTGTATTTGAATGATTGTGTTAAAGAAACACCAGATTGTGTTGGGATCAAGCATTCAAATTCAAGTATATTGCTAACCTTGATAACATAATGGTTCAAATTAGGTTTTTTTCAAACTTTCAGGACTTTTTACAAAACCTGCATATCCTTATTTGTTATTCCTTTGGAGAATATGTCGCCTTTCCCAATCCGACCCAAGTTTAACCGCACTCTAACTGTTTCCAAATGACTGAACATCTGTACACTTCTGCAGCCGTTGACTTGACAAAGAGCCCCAAGCGACTTGGCGGTAAACTGACGATTGATTGGACTATCAAAATTAAGTCTGAGCTTATAACAGTTCCCTAATATCCTAGATGTCTTCACTGACTGATTAGCAAGTTTACATTTTAAAAATAATTTAGTGTTTAAATGAAGCTAGTGCTGTGTGGCCCCTCCAGAAGACTCAAATCATGAGGCATGCATGACCTGCTGCTAATCCAAGCACAAACAGGAGCAAAGCTTTGAGAAACACTCACTATTAACAGCCCTGAGACCCCCCACCATCCTCTCTCTGCCTTTACCCGTCTTTGGTGCTCTGTGAACGTCAAGGATGGCTCACAGTGACACACAACCTCCCCCCCACCGCCCGCCTCTCCACCTCCCACCCACCTCCCCCCTGAGCTGCCGCCCCCATACTGGCTGCTGGCCTTTCCTGCCGTCTGATCCATATTTCAGAGGCGGCAGTGGTGGCACTGAGGGGGTATAATCCAACATTAAAGCAGGGAGGCCTGGGCTGAAAGCACAGGCGCCGGTTCATAAGGTCCTGGAAATCTTCAATTTCAATTTCCGCAGCGTTTGCAGTGGCTTCCAAGGTGCTGGCATAAGTCTCCGACTTTTGGCGAGGGTGCAGGTTTCAATAAGGGTGGGACTTTTCTTGCTAAAAAAGGGCTGACACTGCATGGTTTAGTTGGCAGGGAGAGTGTGAGACAAGTAGACACAGTGCATAGGGGTCAATTAAGAAGTGAGCAAGTGGAAATCAATAATATCTTTTTGTAAATGTATGTGTATTGGTTATTTTCCCTTAAAATACCAAATCCTGTGTGAGTTTACACTTCATTTCTTAGAGGAAAGCTTATAAAAAAGAGAATTGCCGTGATAGGATTAATTCTAAAGTGCACATTTAAATTGATATCTGATAATATACTGTAAGAAAACATTATAAAATAATCTTCCTTACTCTAAAATATATGACACACTAACATTTGGACACAATCCTCGTTGTACCCCTGGTTTTCCAGACATTTTTGACAAAACATGAACAATTTCTCATCAGGTCCAGGGAATTAACTCTCCAATAATAAAATGACTATAATGACATTTATTTAGTTCCCAAAAAATATATTCTTTAAAGACAAATTCATATCCTGTATTTACAATATTTCAAGGTTTCCATTCACAACAGAAGAGGCGAAGAGGACTCATATGACAGAAGAGAGAGATACAAGCAAATCTGTGACAAAAAAAACAACCATCTCTTTTTGCAAGTAGAAGCTAAACAGTAATACTATAACAGGTCGCACTGTTCAAAAAATAGCCTTCATTTAAACTGTTCTCCGTTAAATAAAATTATTCCTTTCTTTTCTTTCTTTATCTTCTCATAATGTCGTCGTCAGAACTCGCTGCTGTGCTGTCCCATGGTGAGGTCTGAAGTGAGGGAGAATCAAAAAGGAAAGGTCAGAGGTCAATCATTTAATAAAATAATAGTAGAAAATCAGTGTATATAGTCCAATGCCAATATGTTTCAGTAGTATAATTCTGTAATGTCTTCAGCTTAGTGGGATTGTATATTGTCGTTAAATTGTGAAGTATTTAGAAATTGATGTCCTTTTGTGAATTTGTATATACTTGCTGCTAGTGTTCCTTTTTATTTTATTATATTTGTATCTTATTTAATCTTTCAAATATTGTGATATCTGTCTATCTATCTATCTATCTATCTATCTATCTATCTATCTATCTATCTATATATATATAATGTATCCTAAATATTCAAAATAACACACAAGTCTTAATTCTAATGACTTTCAATTCTAAAGACAATGTTAAACTTTATTTATGCAAATTAAAAACCACTATAGGTAAATTGTTTTATGTCTTTTCACCCTCCACTACATCCCTGATGTTGCTCTCAGCGTTTTCTTTGACATACATTAGCTGCATTCACTGAGGGGGCGTGAATAAATGGAAGCAGATTATTTAAATGACATAGGTGGCGATAACTCAGCGTTGGTGGGGGGGTGGTGGGGGGGGGGGGGGGGAACCCTGCAGGATATATTAGCCTGCTGCCTGACGAGGCGTTAAAGTGGAGACTCAATCACATGATTTATGTGCTGAGCTCTGCCTGGTCAGGTGTAACAGTGTTTACCTCGGCTTTAGGGTTCATTTAGCACAGGACATGTGGAGAGAAATTGAAGTTGATAATGTCGTGATGCCAAATTGATTTCAAATGGTTACCTGTCAGTGATCAGCTGGAAGGGGGACTTCAGAGAATCGGGCCTGTGGTCACTCTCTTAAAAAAAGAAGAATAAGATCAATTTAATAACAAGTTGGAGTTATATTATAACTCTCAATACTATATGCTATGTATTAGGTTTTCTTAAATGGTTGCTGCCATACTTATTCTCTTTATTTTTATTGTGTAGAGTGCTTTTCTTTTTTATTATTTCATGTTTTTTCTACCTGCTTGGCCACTTTTTCTGTAAACCTCTACATTTCCCCGCTATGGGACTAATAACGGAATTCTGATTCTTTAGAAGTGTTGATATTTGCGTCACGTTGAGGCCTATTAAGTTCCATATATTTTCAGAGGGTTTGCAGAATCAAATGCACTCCGTACCATCTCTTTTTGGACTGAAGCTCCCCGACGACTCCACATCACTGTCCTCCTCCGTCCCCGATGTTCCGGGCCCCGTCGCCGCAGCAGGCCGTGCGTCATGACGCGCAACGGGAACCGCTCCGTGGAGAGGCAGGTGTCCGGCCGGCGAACCTCCGAGGAGCGACCTCATGTTCAAAATAGAGTTGGCGTTCAGAAAAGCTGCGTTGGCCCAGTTGTGAAGTTTGCCAATCTGGCATGTGTAAATCCCATGACCCGGGAGTAAGGCCGGGTGTCCGGGGGAGGCCAAAGCCGGGTGGTGCGCATGGGTGGAAGGTCTATGAGAGCTGTCCGGGGCCGTGGCGGTCTCAGCCAGGGACCATATTTTGGGTTTGCTCTGCGGGGGTCTCTGGCACTCCTGTCTGCTGGGAGAACGATCCACAACTTTGACAACAGGCGATCTGTTGAGAGAAATGTCCGCGTCCACTGAAAGCGTCCTGCTGCTCTCGGAGCTCTTCGGCTCCGAGGCCTGCAGCTCTCTGTCGGCCAGGCCCGCCTCCCCCTGTTCCTCTCCCTCTCCCTCTCCCTCTCCTCCCTTCCCCTCTCCTCCCTTCCCCTGCTCCACCTCGGGTCTCTCGATGTCGACAGTTTCCAAATCAATCTCTTCCTCTTCGTCTTCGTCGTCGCTGCCGTTCTTGCCGAGATCGTCCTCGTTGTCGCTGCTGAAGATGCGGCCGTCCCGGTCCTCTGCGCTGCGGCCCCAGGTCACCTTGTTCTCCTTCTTCAGGCGTCTGCGGGCGTTAGCGAACCACGTCGATACCTGGGATAAGAAAAAAAATGTCCACGAATTATAAATCAGAGAAAAAGGCACTCTTAGTTTGACAATATGTGGCTCAAATTATGGACTGATTAAATATGTAAAAAAAAAGCCTCATTATGCTTCCCTAATTCGTCATTATCATTAAACGAGATATTAAATATCAGGAGACTTATCTCTCTCGGGATGACTTTATTTAAATATCCTCTGGCAACTGGATAATCATATTAAGTAATATAACACGTCGATTAATGAACTATTAGAGGACGTATGATATAACTTTTTTTTTTTAAACAAGCAAATATATTATTGTGTTTGGAAACACATAAAATATCCAGGGCCTCTAATGGGTCACACTGATTTTTCCAAACATTACACACACCTGTGTGAGTGTCATCCGGGTGATGATGGCGAGCATTATCTTCTCTCCCTTTGTGGGGTAGGGGTTCTTCTGGTGCTCCCCCAGCCAGGCCTTCAGGGTGCTGGTGGTCTCCCTGGTGGCCGTCTTGGCCCTCGACGGGTCCCCGTACGGGTATTGGCCGTATGGGTAGAAGCCCTGAGCGGCGTGGACAGGTAGAGAGGCCGGGTGGGAGCCCTGGCTGTCCTTCAGCTCATACTGGGAGCCCTGAAATGTTAATGGGAAAGGGGTGGGGGGACAACTTGTTGAGTGACTTTAAAAATATTTCCTCTTCAAGTAAAAAGAGTAAAACAATTAATCAACATTTGAATTAAAATGTGTGCATACAACTTTTTAAAACTTTGTATGTCAATTTGACCCCAAGTGGCTTTTTTTTCATTATATGGGAATTATTCATATTGAATTAGGAATACAGCCAATAACAATTAACACGTTGCCGTAAAGTGGTTACGTTTTTTAATGACATTTAAAATATGTCAACTTTTGTTTTGATTTAACAAACGGATACGAATTACAATTAATTTCCTAACGTCTCTGAACATAACAGCTATGAAATATTAATAGTGTTTTTCTAATGAATTAACATTGTCTTACAGTAAATTACCAGGGATTTGCCCAATTGTTTTATTTACACACACACATCAAAACTGACGATTGCAAAGTTTAACCTTAACTGTGATGCATTTCTATTTTGTAAAAAAACACGTTATATGTTCAACATTTGCAATAAAAGCACCTTTATACTGCAGACTGCACATATTAAGCATTTAATTAAATATTAATGTGCTCTTTAAACTTAACATGTATTATTCATTGACGATTCTAAAATCCACAAATATCTAATAAAGAAGAATGGCTGTATTTACATATCTTAATCACTTTTAACTACTTGGTAATTGCGCATTAGTTCAGAGGAGCTGAGCCGGACAGACAGCAGTGATAGTCCATCATTAACACCTGATCTGAACTCTCACCATCTGGGATATGAGGGCGAGGTCTGAGGCTCCGCTGTACGGCAGGAAGGCACTGTAGTTGTGAGCCGCCCATGGGCTTCCGTACATCCCCAGCATGGAGCCGACAGCCGCGGCGGTTGCGGAGGAGCTCAAGCCGCCTTCAGTGCCTCCTTCCCGGGCAGAGGCCGGCCGTTCGTACATCTCATGGGAGGCACTGAGGAACTGGGGGTATCCCAGCTGAGGGAAAGACATGGTCCGGAAAACGGCTTATACTGTAAATCTCTCTCAAAGCCAAAGTCACACAACTGCAAGAAGCAAGAGGCAGGACAAAAAAAAATCCCCAGAAAGAAGTGGATGAAGGGGGCGTCTAAATCACCAGAGTCCCCCCTTTTTAAGAAACTGTCAAGCTTCCACACTTCCACCGACCCGGAGTTGTATCACAGCCGCAGTTTGGCACCTCGAGTGCGGAGTGATGCGTGGATCTGGCCGCAGGAGCTTCTGGATGTGGAGCTGACTGACTGATTGGCAGCCTACTTAAGCACCAAGCTCCTCCTATGCCCGGGGCAGGCGATTAGTGCATTGGTTAGCCTAGGTCGTGTGTGTGTGTATGTGTGTGAGTGTTGGTGTGTGTGATCTAATTTCTGCAGTGTCTATACAGAGAGGAAAACCTGTGAAGTGTGTGCAAGTGTGTACATGGTGTGTATGAGCTTTTTTGTGGCTAGAATGACTTTATTTAATCAACACTCTTCCCCCCCCCCCCCCCGTATTGTTGTGCACATACACCAGCAGTTATAGTAGAAGACAATTCATATTAATAATGATAATATTAATAATGAAAATAATAATAATAAGAGTTATGTAATTATTATTATTTTTTATTATTTACCTCTGATTCATGTGCAATGTCTTATCTATGCTGTTCGGATCAATAAATTATATCTTATCTTTATCTTATCTTATTTAAATATTTAAAAAAACGAACTGGCATATTTTGGGTGTCATTTTCCTTCCACGCTTTGACAGCTGATCCGCAGGGTATGCCGGGACATTCTGTCCAGCAGATGGGCCGGGAGGCATCGATATGGTCGGCCAGATCCGAGAGGAATGTCCGTGATTATCGACGGAAGTCGGTGTGAGCATATTTTCTGAGCGAAGATAAAGAGTGCAGGTAATGACAGAGATTGACGAGGATAAGAGATAGCCGAGATAGGCAGCACACAGGAGCTGTGGAGTGGAAAATGACAGATGTCTGTTGAGAAGAATGGACTCACTGTATTCTGCTGAGCCTATAGGACTAGAGTCACCAATGATGAGAATATCTGGTCATTTAAAAAAGTATATATTGAGATTTGACATGCAAAAGCAACTAATTAGATTCAATTCAACTTTATTGTCATTGCACAGAGTACAGCGAAATGCAGTTTGCATTCAACCTTAAAGTGCAAAGAGTAAAGTGCGAGGCTTCAATAAACTCACACAACAGAAGAATATTGTATACATAATGTATAAATATGAATCAATATATTTGGATAAGGTGAAGATTTAGAAGCACGTACATCTATAATAATACCAATACCAATACTTCCCTCTAATACCACCAAGATGGATACATATTGATGGCTCCTCATTGACAGGCTTAACTGTTAAATCTGTTCCTTTGAACACACACACACACACACACACACACACACACACACACACACACACACACACACACACACACACGCACACACACACACACACACACGCACACACACACACACACACACACACACACACACACACACACACACACACACACAGCATTGGGGCAGTGCTAATGAGGTTGAGCACCCAGCGCCCTGCTTGGTGGCCCTGTGGCCCTCCTGGGTTCCCTCAGAGGTTAGTGTGTAATTACTCCATCCCCATAAATACAGATTCATCATTTCACACTGGAGCCCCTGATGAGCTTGGCTGAGCTGAGAGATAGATAGAGAGGGAGAGGGAGAGGAGAGGAAAGGAAGGGGAGGGAGGAAAAGAGGGAGGGAGTGGAGGATCTAATGATTTAATTACAGTGCTTAAAGCCCACTCTGGCTAAGTGATGGTCCTCTCTGTCTCTTTCTCCCGTTCTCTTCGCTGGCACCTAAAGGGCTTTACTCATGAATCTCAAAGCTGTTTTCCTAAACACATATTATGACGAGCACCGCCACCGCTGCTGCTGATGTGTGTGTGTGTGTGTGTGAGAGAGAAACAGCAAAAAGGGAGAGAGAGAGAGGATGCTTAATCTCCATGGCATTTTAAATGGCATTCATGGAGAGCGACTCTATCCTCATTGCCAAGGTAAATGGAGCCAGGGGACTCTCCATTTCAGCTCGATAAAAGAGCAATGTTAAAGACCCTCACAATTTCTCCCTCCCTCTCTCCCTCTCTTTCTCTCTCCCCTCTCTCTCTCTCTCTCTCTCTCTCTCTGTCTCGTTTCTCACTTAAAATTAATGTTTTTCTCTTGACAGGGGAGGGAAACGAGACATATCCACCATCTAATAGGATAATATAGCCCCATTCACCACCACCACCACCACCCCTCCCTCTCTTCTCTCTCTCTCTCTCTCTCTCTCTCTCTCTCTGCCTCTCTCCTCTGCCTTTGTAGCTGCCTGATTTCCATAGTGTCTCTGTGGAGAGGCAGTTAATGAATTCCTCTGAGCTGGAGAAAGGGGGAGAATGGTTTGGCGGTTTAGAGAGAGAAAGAGGCAGGGATAGGGGGAGGAAGGCTTTGAGCTATGCCATTCAACTTCACAGCCTCGGCCTGCTTGTGCATTCACCGTGTGTGTGTGCGTGCTTGTGTGTGTGTGTCTTTTAACATGAACCTGCTAAGACTACCAAATATTTAGACTGGCCTCAGACCTCTTTTTATGGCGACGGTGGATTGAGGGATCTCAGGAGGCAGCTTGACTCTATTTGAATCCCATTCCCTGCTATTAGCTCGGCCCAGACAAAGGAATAACTTACTGCAGGAAACATTCAAATAAAGTCCCACAATCCACTTGCACTGGCCATTTCCTCCTGGGTAATTTGCTGTGAGGTAAATGAAGGAACCCGAAAAAACATCATAAAGCCGTTCTTTTTTGTATTCTTTGTTTGCTTGCACTTCAAAGGAGGGATGATGGCAGTAATTCAATGATGATTAAATAATTGCCATTGATGCTTATTGCAATATCTCAATTTTTGAACATGAATAGAGCAAAATTATCTGTGAAATTGTCCCATAGCAGTAATGTTTTTAGTGACACAATACTTTTTCAGTAATGAGTAGTGAACAGGTTTACAATTATAAACTATTACTGTTACCTACACGTGTACTGTCACTCTTCACAGTTGTTTCGTTGACCAGAAGTTTGATTGGAGGTTGATATTAGTTTCATCTCTGTGTGTTAATCTAATTTTGACAGTTATTATGTCTCCATCCTGGCTAAATATTCTTAGTTCTTGTCATATTTAGTCAACCTCATCCTAGTCGAGTTTCAGTGTTGTGCATTTGGTGCGTTTTAGTCTCATTTTGTTAAAGACACTAACCTGTTTTAGGAGTTTCAGTCAACTCTTGACATTTTAGCTTTTTATAGTCATCAAATTATATTTTACATTTCAGTCAAGTTTCTTTATTCCAAGCCCTGTTTTTGTTAACTTGAGTAAGTCCTCCTAACAGTTTTCATTGGGTGCTGACAGTGTAGTCCTCATATTGGGACTGCAGGACACAGAAGTGCTGCGTTGAACGCATAGACTATATAACGGTATAAATGTTGTCCCCTCTTTTAAATACTATTTGTCTCATCTTTCCCTCAACAATATAGCATGTTGATACAGTCACAGTGTTGAAGGAATTCGATGATGTCTTGTCATTGACATTGAAAAAAGGAAGTTTCTGAACATATTTAGTCAAAATTAACACTGATGGAAAAACGTTAGCTTAGCACAGGGGCTCGAGGGTTGACTCAAAGAAAAGGACCAATGTGACTCTTTGGTTGTGCCTAAATTGCGCCCATCATATAAGGGCCCTACATCTACTGTACTCTATGCAAGTTTAAGAGCAAATTTACTTTCTGCTTAGAATCTCATAATGCAATGGGTTGCATTAGATGTGGAATTCCCAATTGTGTGACCCTTCACCTGTCAGTTACAATGCAAAATGACAACGATTTATAAGTTTCCTAAGTGTTTTGGATGTGCCAGTAAAATATTTGTATGCCTTGTGGACAAAAATAAAACAGGTAGCGGTATTAGCATGATTTCAATTAAGACTTGCTAAAACACCTTAAGCAATAGGTCTATGGAAGATGTGGAGTCCTTTACAGTCACCTTTGACAGAGTTGGACTGAGTAACAAAAGTATTGCATTGAAACAAATTACTTTTTAATAAGTAATATGTGAGGGAAAGAGTTTGTATTTTCATGGTAAGTGAAGTAATTGTAAGTCTATTTGGATAAAAAGCTAAATCTAATGTGATAATGTGAATTTATTACATTTTTCAATTAACTTGCCTATCATGCTCTCTCTACTCAGGTCAATTCTAAACCTTTTTGAACTCTAAGAAATGTTAACGATAAGGAAAAATAATGATACTTTCTTTCTTCTCTGGTTTTTACTAAAACAACTGTTAATTTCCTGAAAAACATAGCCCATGAAGTCAAGCCCTTCCACCATAGTCAGTAATGGCGCATTTCAACACAGTCTCACGGCATTTCGTGTTATAGTCACGAAATTAATCTATTGATTCGTGTTCACCAACACGATTTCGCCATTTTTTTCGTGTCACACAGAACGATTTTAAAAGCAATGTAAATAATAACAAATTAGAAGGAAAAACATATTAAAAAAAATACAGATTTAAGTATTCTGACACAGAACGATTTTAGAAGCAATGTATTTATATTGGTAGTATGTTTCGTGCCTGCACCAAATAATAACAAATTAGAAGGAAAAAAAGATGACATAAAATACAGATTTCAGTATTCTGAGGCTCTGAGCCATTTATTTTCCTCACTGACGGCAAAAAAAACTCAGACATTATACAATTTAAAATAAAAGGGATAGGGTTAGGCTTAGGGTAAGATATTGAGTAAGAACATGTTTTTATGAACCACACAGCTTCTGGTCTTCCAAGACCCGACCGGACAAAAAGACGTGTTGCAGGCACGAAACATACTACCAATAGAAATACATTGCATTTAAAATCGTTCTGTGTGACACGAAAAAAAGGTGAAAATCGTGTTGGTGAACACGAATCAATAGATTAAATTAATTTCGTGACTAATAACACGAAATGCCGTGAGACTGGGTTGCGCATTTCCACTGCAGCGCGTAGCACGGTTTAAGCGTGCTGTGCCCGTTTTGATTTGCTTTTCCACTAGGGGTAGTTCCGGCTCAGGGCTACTTTTTCACCTTTTTTCTGGCCCTCCAAAATCGAGGTTCTTACCGGGCCAACAACCGGGCTGAATATGCT